ACACACACACACACACACACACACACACACACACACACACACACACAGAAAAGCACCAACAAATGTCTCAATCTCCTGATCAGTGGAGAGGAGACGTCTGTCAGGGCGAGCCGAGCCCGAGCTGCAGTGATTGGTGTCCCAGCTCGTTGACAAAACGCCATCAGAGACCGTTTCATCAGCAGCGGCTCCGCACAATGGTGGAATACAGCTAAAACAGGATTCATTCTGGTGTTCACACTCGTTGAAGTAGACAAACGATGTCATGTTGTTGCCATTTGTTTATTTCTTTTCCGTGAGGGCGATAATGCTGTTGCTCACGGTGGCTGCGGCTTTAACTAAATATGTCAGGGACCACTGGGTAGATTTTAATTCAACTTTCAGTTAATATTCACTCGATGCACTTCTACAATTGATTACCGTAATTACCGGCGTATAGAACGCACCTGACTAAGCTGCGCATGCTAAATTGAAAACGAAACACAATTTTGTACATAAATAAGACGCACCGGTGTTTAAGACGCAGGTGTCCACAATTCAGTAAAGGAAACTACACAGCTCCTGGTTATATGTGCAGCTCTTGTTGTAGTACAAGAATCAACCACCAGATGGCGTTTAGGTGTCTGTTTGCTTTCAACACACACAGATTGCGTGATCGTCACAAGACTTGATGATGCTTCGCTCTCTGATTCATGATTACCGATAATATACTACGGTAAATAACCATTCAACCTACAGAATAAACACAAATTAGTCAAAGCAGAACACACTACCGGTACCGTATTTTCCGGACTATAAGTCGCACCTTTTTGCATAATTTGCAGGTCCTGCAACTTATACACCGAAGCGACTAATATACATTTTTCCCCCATATTTATAACCCAATTTTTGGCTGAGATCTGACGATTTAATTCATTCTCACATGGAAAATATTGAACACTACAATTTTCAGCCACTAGAGGGCCCTCAAGCAATTTGGCAAGCCAAGTGTCTCATTAATACGTAAAAGTGACTATTAATGAGACACTTGGCTTGCCATACTAAGCCACCTTCGTCTCGCTCCGGAACTCCTGGAGCAAACGTTGAATCAGCTTGATTTCGCTACGCCGCCCAGGTGAAATGCAGCT